AGTCCGTGGTGATAAAACAGAATGGAGATTTCTGCCTGTGCCTCGGTGGTAAGGACCAACAATCAATACTGGATCTCCACGGCTTTCAAAAATTTTTGTATAAATTCTACTCACACCAATATTTGAGAGTGGGCTGTGGGAGTTAGGGAAGATCAGAACCTTTCTGGGTCATGTAAAAGCAAATATATGACTATGAAGAAAAATATCTTTGCCTCACACATACCCACGTGATGGAGGCTTATTCTCACTTCCCCTTTCCCTCCCTCAGCCAATTTTGCAACAAAAGGGGACAAAATGGCGATGTCCTGGAACAAAAGAGTTTGTTTGAAGGTGAAACCACGAACTGGTGTTTACGGGAGGGCCAGGGGCACTGTTGAGAGGCAAAGGGGATGCTCGTTAAGACTTGTGATCATTACTGAACCAGGCAGGGGACCCCAGGCCCCTGAACTCTGTCTGTTGCTGCTGGGCTCTGAAAGCAGGCTCTTGGCTCCCTAATTGCCCCATATGCTGGCTTTATTTGGTGGCTCAGCTGGGTGGAGTGAACTCTAGGAAGAGATGCATTCATTTTTAGTTACCTCACCAGATTGCTAATTTTCACTCTGGAGGCATAAATCACCATAATTACTGTAATCCCAAAACAGAGAGGCAGCTCTACTGGCACCAGGGCAGCAGCTATCACTGCCACCAAAGCAATTCCACCTGGGGCTCAGGGCACACAAGGCTTGCTCCGCCTGGCACTCCAGATTCGAGACGGAGGGCATGCTGGAAACTCATCCTCCTTCACATGGGGGAAGAAATGGAGTTTTCCAGGGAGCAGTTTCTTTGGAGTTAGTGGCAAGAGTGTGCAGATTAACAGAGACCTTCGGCCCCTGGGAACTTGTTTACATGTTTGACTTGCAAAAAGAACGTCAGGCCCTCTTTTCTCTGGTGTCTTCCCATCAACACACTTCTTGGTTTGGCTTCCTTTTTGTGTCTGTCCTGAGGAAAGACTTAAAAATTCCTAAAGAATTACTTCAAACAGAAACCAGAAGCTAAGCTACAAAAGTACTCCACCCCAGAGGTGGGGGCTAAATATCACTAGAGAAAAAAGAAGCCCAATGTAACTTGTTACTTTGTCACCTATACTTATAATATTGATTTAAACAAATTTCTTTTTAAAGAAAACCAACCTAAGCTAAGTCTAAGAAATACCAACTAGATCCTGAAGCAGGGTCCCTTAAGGGATGATTAACTCGTAAATAAATATGTGAAAATTCCTTACCATTCCTACAGAAGGTGAGGAGGTGGAGATGGGAGAATAAATTTTCTTAACAACTTCATATCATAAGGGTGTCTGGGTATCTGATTTTTCCTTTTTTTCCTGACATTTTTAAGACAGCCCTTAAAGAGAGAGAGAAAGGAGGAAATTTGTGACAAAAAAGAAAAGGCCTGTTGAGGAGGAAACTTTTTTGCCTAATTCTAGAAAGCTTTGGAGAATTTAGAGCCCAAAGCATCCCTTATTATTGATGGCAGGTTGGCCTAAGAAGAGAGGGAATTTTAGGTCAGGAACATTTTGGGAAAAATTGAGGCTGTGCTTGGGCATTAGAAGATAAGGCAGGGGCCGGCCCCGTGGCTTAGCGGTTAAGTGCGCGCGCTCCGCTGCTGGCGACCCGGGTTCGGATCCCGGGCACACACCGACGCACTGCTTCTCCGGCCATGCTGAGGCCACATCCCACATACAGCAACTAGAAGGATGTGCAGCTATGACATACAACTATCTGCTGGGGCTTTGGGGGGAAAAATAAGTAAGTAAATAAAAATTATAAAAAAAAAAAAAAAAGATAAGGCAGACAAATAGTGGATTGCAACAGGACTGGCCCTGTGAGGTGGCCCTGGCCCCGGTCTGCCCCCTCGCCTCCCCCAGCTGTCCTCAGATGACAGGCAGCAGACCTGCTTTGTTTCTTGTCTTCCAATCACCTGCCCTCATGTTTAGGCAGCAGAGAGACCAGAGTTATAAACACAGCTCTACCACCAGCCACGAGTGCAGCATTTAGAGTATTCTAGTTCTTCCCTGATGCTTTTCTACTACATTTCAGACTTCTAATGATCTTTTCCAGAACCATCCACAGTGCCTGGCACAAAGTAGATGTTCAACACATGTTTGATGAATTGATTCAAATTTGGAGAGGAATTGTGGGAAAAGTCCAAGAGTGAAAAATGAGGGGTGTTTCTCACTTCACTTTCTCTGGGGTCCTGTCCCTATCAGGGAAGGCCTCAGATGAAAGGGCTCAGACCATTCTCATACAATGTCTTTTTTTTTTTTTTTTTGGTGAGGAAGATTGGCCCTGAACTAACATCTGTTGCCAAGCTTCCTCTTTTTGCTTGAGGAAGATTGTTCCTGAGCTAACATCCATGCCCATCTTCCTCTATTTTTTGTATGTGAGATGCCACCACAGCACGGCTCGATTAGCTGTGCGTAGGTCCACGCCTGGGATCTGAACCTGCAAACCCCAGGGTGCCAAAGCAGAGCACATGAACTTAACCACTATGGCACCAGGCTGGCCCCTCATCAATGTCTGTAGGTTGGTTCCCACACTCTCGGGTTGGGTCAGGGCCCCAGTAGAGCAGTGAGGAAGGAACCATTTTTTCTGAAGTCTCCCTGCTTTAATCACAGTAACAGTTGAGTGGCAGTTACATTCTTAGAAGCAAATCGTTCTGATTTTGCCTTCCAGAGCAGAGGCGTTTCCCTAAGATCCCAGTTTTACACCAGCAGAAAAAGCCAGGGCTGTCTTGGTTGCAGCAACACCATTTTGTTTTGGTGACAGGAAGTACTGTGATTTTTCTCACCAACTTCTCTGAAGACGTCACCTTTCAGTTATACACACTTAGATGATTTCTGCCCTCCCCCATCTAATCTAGGGTTGCTAAGAGTTTCAGTACTTTCTTCTCTGCTTCCTATCTTCCACCAATCCCCAAGTTCTTACCCAGATGCCAGCTGGGACCAGTCTCTGGGACAGAGGAGAAATAATGTGGAATTGCAGTTAGGGACCAACATGTATATCAGTCTAGGAATAGGCATAACAGCAAAGCCCTTGTTACTACATGGAGGGTGATGGGAAATCATTTCTTATCCATCATGGGTGGTGCTGTGGGTAGTGACTAAGCATAGGCTATTTGTTTCAATACATTTTTGTGAAGGTAAATTATTTACTGGGAACTATCAATGCCTATGTTAAAAGGGCCATGGAGGCTGTCCAAGGAAAGCAATACAATAATAATGGGCAATTAATTATATCTGATATAATATCAAAAGTATGTATATTATATCCAAAAGACAATTCGAATGCATTCACTTTTGAACTGCGTTTGGCTCAGTGTCTCTTATGAAGAGAGACAATAGGAGGACTCCATGTGCATCTGTGTTTGGGCTGTCAAGTTATCAGTATCTATGTATTTATTTGTTTTCCTTTGGCTTCAAAAAAATTCCTTGGTGTTACAGGAAATATGTGTATCACATAAAAAACTTTCGCTTCTGAAAACATGCAGTTAATGGCACATATAAATAAAAATTATTGTTTTGCTGTTAATATTTACTATTGAGATGTATGTTCAATAATTCTCAAATAATTAAAAATATTCTTACAGTGTTTACTGCTGGTACTACTACACATTATGGTTCTATAGCCCTTTTTCCCGTAGAGCTTTTAAAACAAAACAGACTCTATGTTTTTTCCCGCTTCCAGTTACGTATTGGAGAATAGCAGAATATAAATATACATTTTTTAAAGGCAAAGAAGCACAAAGAAAGGAAATCAAATGGAATAAATCCCTGCTATCCTAATTCCAAGCTGGCAAGCTGAGCACACTGAATCAAGTAGAGGATTTTTCAGTCCATTCATGGGGAAAAGTGAGAAGAACTCAGAGGGTACAGTACTGATTCCTTAGGAACCTGGAAACATGGAGCTCTTGGAGGCAGTGAGAACTATTGCTGTGGGGTTTTCTCCGTCTGCCATTCTTTGGTCCATAGTGAAATGTTGGAGGAACAGAGTCCAAAGGTGCAGCAGTGTAATGTAGCCTGAAGCCAAAAGCAAAGAGTCTGATTTCCTCCCTTTTGATTAATTAGAGGGCCACTCATTGTGGGGTGCCTCGGTTTCCTTATTCATCACACAGAGCAGTGTGGTGTGTATCCTCACCTCACCATAGGGTTGCCACAAAGAAAAAGGGGATCTGGAGTAAAAGTTGGGAGACTTGAGCTTATGACCTTGGGTTCATAGCACAGCTGATATTTGGGGAAACAAGTTCTGGGAGGACTTAGGGTATTGTCATAGAGAAAATCGGGGTTGAAAAATAGTTTTCACAAGAGAGGAACCACGTGGCTCTCAGGGGCCTCGGACTGAAGGGATCTGTGCTTGACAGACGGACTTTACAGTGACTATTGTTTCTGCTGTGGGATTATAGTTAACTGCCATTTGTAGTGCGTTTACTATGTGTCAAGCCCCTTGCACGGTTATCTCATTTATTCATCACCTAAACTCAGTTAGAACAACTTTATCCCAGTTTACAGATGAGAAAACTAAGGCCCCAGGGATTAATTTGCTCAAGGTCACTCAGCTAGATAGTGGACCTGTCAGTTTCCTCATCTGTAAAATGAGTTAATAACACAACTAGACTCCATCGCTTGCTGGTTTGTTACAGAGTCGCTTGAGATCGTCATGAGCCACGAAGAGGCAAAGCCCCGGATATATAGGGATCCGCTGTAAAGCGAGTTTCGCCTTTTTTTAGATCTGAATTCTGTCTTTCTCAAGGCTGCTAAAGCGCGGGCGCGGGTGGATCCTTGCGCAGGCCACGGTCGGATCCTTGCGCAGGCCACGGTCGCCCTCTGCCGACGTACGGTGGGAGCGCGCGGAGAGCGAACATTTCCGGGCCTGAGAGCGGTCCAAGAGGCTCGCTGGCCTGTAGAGGGCGCCTGCGTAGAGCGGAGTAACCTACTGGGCCGTCCCTTCCCTAAGCACTTCCTGTCCGATCGCTATGCTCATCCGGTTACGTCATGAGTCGTTCCTGGAGGTTTCAATTTACCGTAAACAAAAAGGATGCGCGCCGACCCGGAAGTGAAAGCTGGAGCTAGGCCGGAGTAGCTCTTAAGGCCGGCAGTGGGGAGGCGGAGGGAAGCCGTAGCCATGGCGGTGGCTGTGGCTGGGGTCGGAGCTGTAAACGGCATGGAGCTAGGCCCCGCGGAAGAGCTTGCCAAACTCGAGTATCTGTCTTTAGTGTCGAAGGTGTGCACAGAGCTGGACAATCACTTGGGGATCAACGACAAGGATCTGGGTGAGCCCGGGGAGGTGCCTGCGGCCTCTGGGTTTGGGGCGAGAGAAGCGGAAGGAGAAATGGGGTTGGTGGGCTGAGTGTGTGTCCCCGTGTGAGTCTCTTCCTCTTTTTGTCAGAGACTTGGGCCCAGGGAACCTGCGGCCGTGACCTCTGCTTGAGAGCCCACCCGGCCGAGCTGTTAGAAACCATTTCTCAGAGCTGTCAGTGAATCCCGGAGCGGCCATCGCTGCTTTCTTTTTATTTTCCGTGCCAGATACTTCAACAGCGTTAACAACGACAGCAGCAGCCACAGGGTGATGTGATAATAATGGCAGGCATTTATTGGCTTCTCACTGCATGCCAGATATGCTCAGTGCTTTACGTTCATTATCTCATTTGGTCTTCACACCGCCATGTAAGATAGTATTATTTGTTTCTAGATTGAGAAAACAAGGCTCTGAATAATTAAGTAACCCCCCTCAAGATCACATATCAAATTTGAACCTGGTCCGGAATCCAAGTCTTTTGAAGTCTGTATCTTTAGCTGTGCTCATAACCGTTCATGCTATACTGTCTCTCAAACACCAGTTATTAGACATTTTGGGACAAACTGTACACGTGGAGAATCCAAACTGAGGAATTGGAAAAGGCTAGAGTCCTAGAGCTAAGGCCACAGGCAGGCAAGAGTCCTTATGTAGGTGAATAGATGGATGGGATCAAGGGCGTGAGTGGAGGGATTGCCTTTGATAGGTACAGGGATGCTTCATCCATTTTAACAGAAAGGACAGAGAATGTGGTTGTAGATGCAAATGAGTTTAGGGATTGGTGGTAGGAAGATGAGAGAGAGTTCCATTTGACTGTTCTGTTTTCCAAATGAAGAAGTGAAGTCATCAATTGAAGAGATGGAAGGGAAGGGGCATGTGACAAGAGGGGTCAGGGATGTTAGGTGTGTGACCTTGGGTAAGATGCTTAGTTTCTCTGCAGCTGTTTTTCTGCTCTGTAAATTGGGGATGATAATGACACTTCACGGGGTGACAGTGTAGCACCTAGGAAAACGCCCTGCAGCCAGTATATTTTAGTTCTTTTTTCTCTTGCCTCCTGGTCAAGATGTACCTGTCTGTATCATCTTTCCTCAGTCTCCTCTTGTAGATGATAATGAGGTGACACTCTTGTCAGTTTGCTCTTTATCTGGGTAATATGTTCCTTCATTCAGCAAATATTTATCGAACCAGGGGATTAGGAATATGGTAGAGAACATGATAGATTCCTGCTGTCAGGGAACTTACATTTCTTTCTCTTTTTGTTTTAACTACTAATGCCTTGGCCCCTTTTAGAGGAAAAAAAAATTATTGAGGGCGGCCCCGTGGCTTAGCAGTTAAGTGCGTGGCTTAGCAGTTAAGTGCGTGTGCTCCGCTACTGGCGGCCGGGCTTCGGATCCCGGGCGCGCACCAACGCACCGCTTCTCTGGCCATGCTGAGGCGGTGTCCCACATACAGCAACTAGAAGGATGTGCGACTATGACATACGGCTATCTACTGGGGCTTTGGGGGAAAAAAAGGAGGAGGATTGGCAATAGATGTTAGCTCAGTGGCGGTCTTCCTCAGCAAAAAGAGGAGGATTAGCACGGATGTTAGCTCAGGGCTGATCTTCCTCACAAAAACAAAAAAAAAGAAAGAAAAAAAAAATTATTGAGACCTTTCAGTGTTAAATTGTTTTGATGTTAGCCTTATTACATACAAAAATAAAGTGAGGTATAAGCTTCATAATTTTATGCCTTGTATATCACAAAACACCCCATTTAATTTGCAAATAAACCACAAATATGCTTTTTCTGTTTCCAGTTCTGACACCAGTTACGATGTGTGTTTTTCCCAATACTACCAAGCAATTCTGGACACCAGCTGGGTGTCCTACACTTGAACTCAGTTCTGACACTATCTACTTGGAAAGAGCATCAGATCCCACAGGTTAAGGGCTCAGGCCCACAAGACTGCCCCGCCCCCAACTTCAGGTGCCGATCACAAGTCCAAGTTGTCACCTGTGCTTCTGACCCACCAGCATAGATCGGAGATCTACTTACTAGATTACTGGTTTATTATAAAAAGATATAACTCAGGAACAGCCAGATGAAAGAGATGCATAGAGCAAGGTATATGTGAAGGATAGAGGTGCTTCCAGGCATCCCACATACAGCAACTAGAAGGAAGTGCATCTATGACATACAGCTATCTACTGGGACTTTGGGGAGAAAAGGGGAAAAAAAAAAAGGAGGAGGTTTGGCAATAGATGTTAGCTCAGGGCTGAACTTCCTCACACACACAAAAAAAAGACTGGAAAAAAATATATATTCTTGTGGGACTCATAGTGTGAGGCTTATTATCTCAGCCTATCATAAAATGCACTTCTTTCCTGAAAGTCTCTTAATTAATAAATAGCTCTACTATTAGAAATTTCAAGAACTAGGCAGATTTGTAGAGAAAAATTTGGGAGGCAAGTGAGATTGTACCATCCAGCAGCTGCCTGGTCCTCATATATAGATTGGGTCTGTCCTTCCAGAAACTGTAGAGAGCATCTACTGTACACGTCTGTGTGTGTGTGTGTGTGTGTGTGTGTGAGAGAGAGAGTGTGTGTGTATGCTCATGATTTTGGACATTGTTCCTGCTAGAATCTATATAGCAGTGTGACAGCAAGTAGTTTCACGAGAAGAGAGTACAATGATCTAGGATATGGAGGTCTTCCTCCCTTAAATGCGCTCAAGGGCCTGGTGAGCCATTTTGTAGTAATATCTTCTTTTCATTTATAAAAATTAACTATAACACACATGGATAATCTCAGTAGTCTAAATTGTCTTTCTTTACCCTTCCTGGATGGTGGTCTTTGGTTTTTATGACTGTTGGATAGCCTAATTGGTTTGTTTTTAACATACTTGAAACTGATTTCTTGCTCAAGTCTTCATTCTTCTTGTTTTAATCTCTTTTCTCATTTGCAGCTGAATTTGTGATCAGTCTTGCTGAGAAAAATACCACCTTTGATACTTTTAAGGCTTCTCTGGTCAAAAATGGTGCAGAATTCACGGTGTGTATATCTGGAGACCCCTGTTTTATTTTAATGTTACTATCGAATTTAAATTTTAAAAAGATTTAATATAGGATTTTGCTAGAGAAAGGAGGTAATGTGTATATACCAATCAAATAAACCATTAAGTGAGTAATATTTTCATGCCACTAAGCAGTGGTGATGTAGCCGGATTTCCTGTGACACCTCTCTATGAAAATGGGACAGGATTTCCATCATTCAGTCTTAATGGGTGTTTACATTCTTGTTCTGTGAATCAGGAAGTCAAAAACAAGAGTCTAGGTTTTGGAGGTAGTTCTAAACTATGAAAATAAAATGGTTGAAAGGAACTAAATTACTTTTTCCCCCAAAGAGTCCTAAATATCAGCTTTCTCTGAAGCCACTTTACTAGGTTTATGCCATGTCAGGTTGACATTCTGTGCTTCATTTGTTCCAGTTAGCTAAGTTCAGGTGCATGACCACCCTTCTCTAAGGGACATCCCTTTTCTTAGTGTTTTTAAGCACTGATCCAGGGACTGACAATTTTTGTTCTGTTTCTTTTCAAAGGATTCTCTTATTAGTAACTTGCTGCGTCTCATACAAACCATGCGGCCTCCAGCAAAGCCTTCTACTAGCAAAGGTGAGCAGATGGCTTAGATGAGCTCAGCCTCCAGAATGGTTTAGATTGTGAGCATCCTGTAAATTGCGTTTATCTCCCTTACCACAGCTGCTGAACAAGTAAATGTTCTAGTAAAATTTTGACTTAAAACGAAGTTAAAATTATAAGATGTAACCAACCAAATGAATATTGATGCACCCCTCTGCCACATACCCAGATAGTTTGTTGAGGGTTTTGATGCAAATCTAATATTGACGTTCTTTTGTTAACCATTAAGAATATTAAATGTGTCTTTTTTTTTTTTTACCCCTTCATGCTCTTTAATGAAACAAGATCCAGTTGTTAAACCCAAAACTGAAAAAGAAAAGCTGAAGGAACTCTTCCCCGTCCTTTGCCAACCAGACAACCCTTCCGTTCGGGTACTGATGCCATTTTGAGAATGTCTGCTATAACTGCATGTTCCCACACCCCTGCGTGTTTGTCTCAGTAGTTATTAATTTTAAGTTCGCCTTCGTTGTAACATATTTTTCAAAGTGAAAGTGTTTGATCACTCTCTGAGTGTATACTGTGTATGGAATAGTGTTAAGAGGTTCAGAGAACGATGTTCAATGTTAAAGGGAATTGAGATTCAGAATTATGGGAAGCAGTGATTAGGGATATGAGATAGGTATGAAATAACTTAAGGTTCTGGAACAGATGCCTAATGTGTGAAATTAGATTTTTTGCTCTGTTACATGTTAGAAGGTCTAATTTTGGAAGTGTTTTGATTTTTTAATTTTATTTTAGTTAAGTATTTATAGAGTACCTACTATGTGCCCAGCACTGCTGTAAGTACCAGGGATACCACAGTGAGCAAAACAGACTGGAGTGTCTGCCCTCTTGGAGATTATATCCTAGTTGGGGTGGGGGCAGGAAATAAACATGGAAACCCCTCTAGTAGGGAGGAGACAGGCAGTAAACAAGTAAGTAAGTGTATAATGTAGCTGATAGCAATCAGAACTACAGAAAAAAATAAAGCAGGTGAAGGGGGAAGGGAGTGCAGAGGGAGAGTTGCGTTTTAAAAATTTTAACATCTATTTTCTGTGTATAATCATTGCGTGCTTTTACTCATTCCTTCACTCATTCCTTCTCTATCTCAAATTGTGTTGGAAATCTCCACCCCCTCTGCTTCCTTCACGTAAGTGGTCAGTGATGAGGGGCTGTCAGATTTGTAGATGCACCTGAAGTACAGATTTTTTGATTTGTTTTCCCCTCTTCTCTTAACTTTGCTGGGCTCTGCCCCTGCAGACCATGCTGGACGAGGATGACGTGAAGGTCGCTGTGGATGTCCTCAAAGAGCTGGAGGCCTTGATGCCCAGTGCAGCGGGCCAGGAGAAGCAACGAGACGTTGAGCACCGGTTAGTCCTTAGTGTCCTATCCTTCGTAAGCTTAGGATACCATGATAGTTGAATTTTGTGGGCCAGCCAAGCAAAATTTTGGGCAAGTTGACGGAATCTAGACTGGCCATGTAGTATATTGTTGGATCCATTTTCATTGCTTCCTGCGGAGAGTTTTTATGCAGCAAATGCTGAGATGTTCAGAAGATAGAAATCTGGGTTGAAAGAGGCTGAATATGTTGGTGGCCTCATCGTTTATTGGGCTGCATGGATGTCTTAGTTGTTGAAACTCTAATTTAGTTCAAGACTCGGTAGGCACCTGCCATGTGCTGGGTGCTTGGGGGTGCAAAGGTGAAATTGGGCTGGTTTTTTTTTTCAGACAGGTGTTTGTTGATTTGTTAGGGACAAGACAAAGAAAAAGAAGCGGAGCCGGAGCCGAGAGCGAGAGCGAGACCGCGATCGAGAGCGAGAGCGAGACCGTGACCGCAGTAGAGACCACAAGCGGAGACACCGGTCCCGCTCTCGATCACATTCCAGGACCCGGGAGAGGAATAAAGGGAAGTCTAGGTATCGGTCCAGGAGCAGAAGTCAGAGTCCCCTCAAAGACCGGAAGGACCGAGACAAGTATGGGGAGAAGAATCTGGACAGATGGCGGGACAAGCACGTGGACCGCCCTCCCCCAGAAGAGCCTGCCATCGGGGACATTTACAACGGCAAAGTTACCAGCATCATGCAGTTTGGGTGCTTTGTGCAGCTGGAGGGACTGAGGTAATGGCTGGTGCTCTTCTTTCACACCAGTGATGCGCAGAATTTCTTTTATCACTGGGGATTTTCACATTCTAAAAAGTTAATGATTAACGACACTTTAATCAAATCAGTCATGTCAGGTTGCTATAAATTGACTTTTTATTTGAAATGTCATAAAGCCATTTATTCCTTCCTTTGCCTTCAGGAGATCTCAACCTTTTGCTGGTTGCCCTTTGCTGGTTGAAACAGATGAGAATGTGTAGTGTCCTCCCTCCCCCATCCATTTTCTTTGGGAGGGTGGTGACACTGTTTTATTGTTTGGTACTGCCTTTTGGTACTTTCCTCTTTTGTGTAAGATCATATCCTTTTGTTCAGTTCCAACAAGGGTAGAAATCTGTTGGGGATAAAGTATTTTAGGCATGCTGCAGATGTGTCTGCCTCTCCCTCAGGAAGCGGTGGGAAGGGCTGGTGCACATCTCTGAGCTCCGGCGGGAAGGCCGCGTGGCCAATGTAGCTGATGTGGTGAGCAAAGGCCAGAGGGTCAAGGTCAAGGTGCTGTCTTTCACTGGGACCAAGACCAGCCTGAGCATGAAGGTAGGTGAGATATCCAGCGTGTTTCCACATCTGATGGCCAAGGGAACATAAGAGGATGGCACGTGAGCTGGCTCCCTTGTTTTTGTGCCTTAGGATGTGGATCAAGAGACTGGAGAAGATCTAAACCCAAATCGACGACGAAATCTTGTTGGGGAGACCAATGAGGAGACCTCAATGAGGAATCCTGACAGACCCACTCACCTCTCCCTCGTCAGTGCCCCTGAAGTAGAGGATGACTCACTGGAGCGCAAGCGCCTCACCCGCATCTCTGACCCAGAGAAGTGGGAGATCAAACAGGTTGGGGCCATTTGCTTTTGTGGCCACATAGTCATTCAACATGTAGCATAGTCCTTAGAAGTGCGGGCTCTGGAGCATGACAGCCTGGGGTGACTTCTGGCCACTTACCAGCTGTGTGATCCTGAGCCAAGTTACTCTAGCTCTTTGTGCCTCAGTGCCCTCATCTGTAAAGCAGGGCCAGTGGCAGCATCGTGGGGGTTAAATGAGTTAATAGAAGTGAGGCTCTTAGATTGGTCCTTGCATGAGGTAAGTGCTATGTAAATGTTTGTTCTTTTCATCATTCAAGGTAAACAACCATGATGTGTCAGGCACTGTGTAGATGCTAGGGCTACAGAATTCCTACCCTTGAGGAACTCAAAAGTCCAGTGGAGGAGATAGATTGAGACAAATAGTTGTGAAGATTTACATATTACATGATAAGGAATGTACGGAATGCTATGGAAACAAGGGAAGAAGCAGATAAATCTTCCTGGGAATGAGACCCTTGGGCCATGTTGTTGGCACATGTTGTTGTGCCTCCTAGGCATGGGATATATGATGTTTGAGGCCTGCAGTCCTGGGTCAGGAGGAAAAAACCTTGGTTTCCTATATGAAACCTCTCTATTAACTCTCCTACAAAAGGAAAGTTTTAATCCTGGCTGGTTACAAATGCTGCCTTTTGTCCTTTGGCTAGATGATTGCTGCCAATGTCCTTTCCAAAGAAGAGTTTCCAGACTTTGATGAAGAGACCGGCATTCTCCCTAAAGTAGATGATGAAGAAGGTAACTAGCCACTTGGATTGAGCAGGATAATGGATTGGGAAGACAGTTGGCATGTTGAGAGCCATCGGATAGGGGTGTTGATTTATAGTTTAACCCGGTGGTTTAGCTCATTTGTTCCCTGGGTCTCACCACTCATCTCAAAGAACGGGGGTCCCTCCATGATGAAAGCAAAAACATTCATTTTTCTGACAAACATTTATATGTTGTTATACGTGTTGTTTATAATACGTTTTCAGGATATAGAAAGTTATCATTGTATTTTGGGGAGTAAATTTGATCCCATGTTCTTAGTAAGTGTTCTGAAAACCCTGGATCCACCTAGATTACCTCTGAGTTGCCCTGGAAACAACTTTTAACTGCACCCAACAATTTTTAAAAATTATAAAATAAATCCTATATTGGAACATATATAATTTATATAACAATAATAAATGAACACCTACATTAACATACCTACCTATTTCCTAGCTTAAGTAGAAGTTTACCAGCACCTTTGAAGCCCTTACATGCCCCCTCTGAAGAGCTCTTCCTCCTTCCTCCCCTGGATAACCACCGTCCTAAATTTTGTGTTAATCATTTCCTTGCTTTTCTGTAGCGTTTTACCATCTATATATCTATCCCAAAACATCATGATGTTTAGTCTGTTTTTGAACTTAATTCTTTTTGTTTTTTATTCACCATCATTCTTTTGATAGTTATCTATGTTGGGTTTTTTTGTGTGTGTGAGGAAGATCAGCCCTGAGCTAACATCCGTGCTAATCCTCCTCTTTTTGCTGAGGAAGACTGGCTCTGAGCTAACATCTATTGCCAATCCTCCTCCTTTTTTTTTTCCCCCCAAAGCCCCAGTAGATAGTTGTATGTCATAGTTGCACATCCTTCTAGTTGCTGTACGTGGGATGCGGCCTCAGTGTGGCCAGAGAAGCGGTGCGTCGGTGCGCGCCCGGGATCCGAACCCGCGTCGCCAGCAGCGGAGCGCGTGCGCTTAACCGCTAAACCACGGGGCCGGCCCTATGTTGGGTTTTATAGTTGTATTTCATTCATTTTCACTACTGTAGAGTATTTCTGTATATAAGTTTACCATAAATTATCCATTTTACTTTTTATGGGCATATGGGCTACTTCTAGTTTTTTGTTTACCTTTATGAATAATACTGTTATGAAATTCTTATATTTGTCTCTTAATACACATGTGCAAGATCTTTTCTTTTTCCTAAATATGTTGGAGAATTACTGGGTAGTTGGAAATGTGCATATTCAACTTTACCAGACAGTCCAAATTGTTTTCTAAAGTTTTTGTGCGACTTTTGTACGCTTCTACCGTAAGTGTGAGTTCCTATTGCTCCACGTCTTTGCCACCTTAATTGTTTTTGGCCAATCTATTGTGGGTTAAGAGTTATTCCATAATGAAATTAGTTGGCGAATGCCTTAGTACCATTTAGAATGTCAGACAGCACTTTTTCCACAGGCTTAACTTCTTTTGAAGGTAGCACCGATCAGTTCTTGGGCTGGAGCACAGATGCCCTAGGAATGGCGGGGGGGCGCGGGGGAAGCAGTCACCTGCTGTAGAATTTCACTTGCGTTGTGTGCTTTTCACCTCGGGAGCTCTCTTTGATAAAGATTGCTGGTGCCTGTGGAAATTAATAGTTTTGGTGAAAATGATTGGTCATTTTTCTCTTTTGTTTTTGGCTAAATTCTTCTTTTGGGGGGCACTTGTAGATGAGGACCTTGAGATCGAACTGGTTGAGGAAGAGCCTCCATTCCTGAGAGGACACACCAAGCAAAGCATGGACATGAGCCCTATTAAAATCGTTAAGGTGAGAAATGCTGGGACTCTAACCTGCACGTGACAGGGAACTTCTTAAAGTAACAATTCCATTTTCAGAGCACGTTGTTAGAGCCGTGTAAGTACCTCAGGCCACGGAGGTAGTGTTGACTGTTGGTCAGGGTCTAGAATATTTTTGTTTTAATGGGAGGTTGACTTGGCTTTGTTGCTTTTGCCTTTTTAATTCTTTGGCTCTCATTTTAGTGTGTTTTGGGAGGAAACAGAGATAAATATGAGGGCTGGATCTACCATCACTGCCTTTGCCTCGGCCTTAGGGCTTGAATCATTACCTTCCAAATTCAAAGGCAATTTTTTTTTTGTAATTTTTTTTTTTTGAGGAGGATCAGCCCTGAGCTAACATCCGATGCCTATCCTCCTTTTTTTTTTTTTTTTTTTGCCGAGGAAGACTGGCCCTGAGCTAACATGCGTGCCCATCTTCCTCTACTTTATATGGGATGTTACCACAGCATGACATGACGTGAGGTGCGTCAGTGCACACCAGGGATTTGAACCTGCGAACCCCGGGCTGCTGAAGCGCGCGCACTTAACCGCTTGTGCCACCAGGCAGGCCCTCAAAGGCAGTTTTGAGAGGTTCACTTGATCTTGGGCTGGCCCCCAGTAGGAAACTATAGCACTGGGTGTTGTGGAAGGCAGAGCTGTGAGGAGGAGAATTCATAGAACTGTTAAGATAAAATTTTAGACTTGGAAAAGTATATCTTAAAGGTCTCCCAGCTCAGCCACCCATACAATGCTTGTAATACACCCATGTATCCTTCTGCAGTGTTCCTCCCATGTGGTGTTCTCACGTCTGCTTGACATTATTGGTGACAGGGAATTCACCAGCCCTTAAGGAGACCTGTTCCCTCTTCAGATGGATCTGATCTTTAGTTCTTTAGGCAGAGTTAAAATCTGTCTTACTGAGATATCCACATTGGTCTTAATTTTAGTTCTTGGGACCATACAGACGAATTCTCGGGCCGGCCCCGTGGCTTAGTGGTTAAGTGCATGCGCTCTACTGCTGGCGACCCGGGTTCGGATCCCGGGTGCGCACCGACGCACTGCTTCTCCGGCCATGCTGAGGCCGCGTCCCACATACAGCAACTAGAAGGATGTGCACCTATGACACACAACTATCTACTGGGGCTTTGGGGGAAAAAGTAAAATAAATAAAAAAAATTTTAAAAAAAAAAAAAAAAAAAAGAAGAATTCTCATCCCTTTCTTATATGGCATATCTCTCTTGGGGTTCTCATCTTCAAACCAGACGTCCCCAGTTCCTTCAGTGATTTGTCATTGTCCTCATTCACATTCTCGAATATGCTACAATTTATCCACTTTTTTCATGTAATCTGTACGTTCATAACAACTTTTTTCCAGGTGGGTCTCATTTTTTAGATTTGTGGCTTAACATCTACATTTTATTTCCCGGACATTTAGTGCTTGCTGAGATCCCATTCTGATGTTGCTTTGTACTTTGTTGCCCTAGAACCCTGATGGCTCCCTCTCCCAAGCAGCAATGATGCAGAGTGCTTTGGCCAAAGAAAGACGGGAACTCAAGCAGGCCCAGCGGGAAGCCGAGATGGATTCTATTCCCATGGGACTCAACAAACACTGGGTTGATCCTCTGCCTGATGGTAGGACCCTGGGAGGGGGGTGTGGACTTTTCAAAAAAATTCTGAGCCTTTGAGTACAAAGGGAGGGGACACTGCCAGCACATACATTTAGCCTTGGCTAAAACATACAGCCTTCAGTCTAGGCTTTGGTGATTTGGTTTTTCCCTGCAGTTAAAGCATGTTTTTTGTTTCTTTTGTTTTTGAAACAAATGTTTAAAACCAAAAATGTTTTAGTAACCCTGGTCAAATCATTAGACTGGCTGACTTTTTCTTCTGAATAACTTAAAAATTTTTATTCTAAAGATAATACAGCTTTGAAACTTCCCTTTTCATATACTTCTTTATGCAGTAAATATTAACTAACTACTGGATACAGTTGAAACAAATACTTATTAATATGTATTAGGCAACGGGATACAGCTGTGAGGAAAATAGACACGATCCCTGCTCTTGTGAGGCTTACAGTATAGTGGGGAAGATGACATTAATCAAATAAGTACTAAATAACTAATTAGTTAAATCATGACCAGTGCCTTATGAAGAGGTACAGGTCATGTAGTGGGCTATGGTGGGTTACTTCCCTGGGAAAATTGAGACCCCAAGGATAAATAAGGCTTAGTCTATCAAAGGGGATGGTGGGGGTAGGGGAGTGTGTTCCAGGCTGAGGAATAGCCTGTACTGGGGCTATGAGGTGGGAAAGAAGAGCTGTGTGGCTGGAATACAGAGAGTGATGGGCGAGTGGTGGGGGATGAGGAGTGGCAGGCCAAGACTTTACTTTCTAGATCACATTAGGAATTGGGGCTCAATTCTGAAGTTCACTGGGAAATGTTGCAAAATTCTAAGCAGGGGAGTGGCATGATCAGAGTTGCATTTCCAAAGGATTATTGAGGGTGCCCTGCAGAATGGATTGGATGGGGCAAGAGTAGACACATGAGATGAATTAGGAGGCTTTTATAGTAGTTCAGAGGAGAGAGGATGGTGGCTTGAACAGGGAGGTAGTGGAGAGGAGAAATGTACTGGAGAAATGTGATTTGTTCAATGTGGGGGAGGGGGCAGTGAGGTAGCTTGAGGATAATACTAAGTCACCTGTTTTCCTTTGCAGCGGAAGGCAGGCAGATTGCTGCCAATATGAGGGGTATTGGGATGATGCCCAATGACATTCCTGAGTGGAAGAAACATGCCTTTGGGGGCAATAAAGCTTCTTATGGAAAAAAGACACAGATGTCAATCATTGAGCAGAGAGAGAGTCTGCCCATCTACAAACTGAAGGAGCAGCTGGTCCAGGTCAGAAGTCCCTTTATGATGTATTGGTGAGGGAGTGGGGATGTTTTCTAAAAGAAAGATGACATGTTTTAATTGAAATTAGCTGGACAGGTATGTGCACAGTTGAAATGGCTTTTCCAAGGGGATAGGAAAAAAACAGAACATTTCCAAGTACTTTTTAAAAATATAGGGGCCGGCCCGGTGGCGCAAGCGGTTAAGTGCACATACTCCGCTTCTAATATATATATATTAGTTTACACATTTTTTTTTTCCTATGCGGAAATAAATCTGTTTGAACTGGGGGACTCTAGAGCAGTTCCAAGTGGGCAGAGTATGGTGTTGCATGGACCAGCAGCTCCGGTCAATAAGAAAAATAGGGATGCTTGGCCAGTGATCCCCTATAAGCAAGACTTTGCTTCAGGTACTTATTTCCCTTTTCTGGAGATCTGATTTTAAGATCACCAAACCTTCCCTAGGGAACCGAGTTTACTAGTTTCCAGCAATTCCTTTCAGTAATATCTTATATGTATACAAGCAAGGGGCCGGCCCCGTGGCTTAGCGGTTAAGTGCGCGCGCTCTGCTGCTGGCGGCCCGGGTTCGGATCCCGGGCTCGCACCGACGCGCTGCTTCTCTGGCCATGCTGAGGCCGCGTCCCACATACAGCAACTAGAAGGA